TAAGCAACATTTCCTAAAGAGAGCTCTTCTGCAGTCTTTTCTTCCAAAGTGGGGCTCTCATGGAGTAGCTTTGGGCAGTGACCATTGTTTTTGAAATTTTTAGTAATGCCTTCGTCTTTTATTCCAGGATCAAAGAAGGTCCTTCGATACGTAAACGTGTCGAACGAGCACGTGAACATGATCTCATTTTTCACGTCAAGAATAAAAGGATTAAGGGGCTGTCTCACTAATTTAGCTTCTTCTTTAAGCAGAATCCGATGCATGCACCTGGAAGGGCTAATACCGGGAATGTCCGCCAAGGTCCACCCTATTTCCTTTTTGTGCCTCTTTAAAACCTGCAAAAGCCTACTTTCTTGATTGAAATCAAGGTTAGCTGAAATGATAATAGGAAGCTTATCATTTATGTCTAAGTAGGCATATTTGAGATTTTCTGAGAGGTTTGAGTTCTAAAGAAAGGGGTTGCTCAATAGATGGGATGGTCGGGGCAGCAGGAACGTCCAGAGCCTCAATCGCACAAACCACTTCATCGATAACCTTATCCACCTGCAAAATATTAGTCCGCAATGCAGCATTTATCTCGGCACAAGTAGAGCAAACATTAGTGTTAGTGCACACATCACAGGAGAAAATATCATCATAGTCTAGTAAAGACGGGAAATCAGATAAAAACTCGGGAAGTGTGTCATCTACCAAGTAAGAAAATACCAATTGTAACACCCCACTTTACCCCGTACGCGTAATACAATAAATATATAGGAGTAATTCATAAAATTCATCAGAGTTTTCCAACACAGTGGGATATCACACTAAGTCACTTCATCTCATTAAAATAAATCAATATTATTCAGTTTTCAATTAAGCAGCGGAATACAAATCAATTCTCCAATATAATTCTCCTCAACACGAGGTCATACAATATAAGTCCAACAAATGAAGATACATAACAATAAACAAATAAAGTAGTCAAATAACAACGTAATCCTGTCATCCCATGTTACGTATCAGAGCGACTCCTAAGACTCGATCAAATAGTAACACACTCCAAGCACCACTCAGGTACCTGGTCACCTGTACTCCCAAGAGAGCACAAACACAACAAGAAAAAGGGGTGAGAACTACATTCAATAAATAAATGGTGAAATACACATGCTAAGGAGTAGTTACACACCACACATACAATCATACATAATTAACGCACATACACGTGCCACCTCAATCATTCGGCACTAATAGCCCACATTCAATTACAATAATGCAATGCGACTCACTGACTCGACACAATGCATGTGGTACCAACACAATCTCATACGGTTCATACAAGAACCCGATTCCCGTCGAAATCCGGATAAGTCGTATATACGTTCCTCTGAACTACAACTTATCTCCACAATGACTTCCATATTGAAGTCTGGATGGAACTAGACACCCATCATGGATTCCCACCTAGCCATCTCCACAAGACACATGATATGAAATGCATGTCAACACAATTATGCAATGTAATACATCATGCATAATTCACGATCAATCTTGATCCACACGAGCCATCCGCTCACCGTAATCCTCTCAGGAATTACCATAATCGCACAAGATTGTACACATTCGACCATCTTGGCCCACATCTATCAAAACACCAAGACATCATTGAACCAGAACATGATTCGTTACTAAAACATATACACAATTGAATTCTCAAACATAATTAGATATAAAAATATTGGGAAAACAATTCCATCATCTATCATATGTTATATTTCTATTCATTAGCTTTCCAACGCTTCGAACGGGGATCAAAACGGACTTATGGATCCAAAGTTACGTCCAAAACAATTTCGACCGAAAACATGAACATCCGTGACGGACAGAAAGACGCTGTTACGCTCCGGAACTGATATTCACCCAATTATTCTTGCGAATCACTTACTCAAAGCACCCAAAACATCACTAAAATATTCCTAAGGTTATACGGCAATAACGACACAACTTCTATGGTTTATTATGCTCATCTGGCAACATTTGCAACACATAAAACACTATTTTCTGCAATTGCTCTGAGTACTTCAGAGTTATCCACATTTGAATATTCCTATTCCTATAGGGACAACATATTACAATTTTTCCTTCAATTACACCCTACGACATTAAAATTACTCACTATCTAATATTTAACCCCTTCAGGGTAAGACATATAACAATGTCAAGGTTCTGGTCAAGAAGGTTCAATTTCCCATAAGTTTTACCTATATTAATATTCAACTATACATATCATTTGACCATTTGGCCATAACCTCAGATTCCTACTGTTACCTCCCTATTTCCCACAATTAACCCAAATCCCGAAACCTTAGGGAAACCTTAGAGCATCTTACTAATAACTATATAACACATTCATTTCTACATATTTGCCCAAATCCCTAAAAGTTCAGATTTCCAGATCTACTACTCACTAGTATTCTATGACAGCATCAAACATTTCTCACACGAATTCCGTATTAATTCTGGTTTCGGATACACAAAACATCATACAAACAGTATTCAACAATAACAAAAAATTTGAGAACAAATCAAGTTACGAAAAGTGGATTCAAGGATTCTCAAGAACACATAATTCCTATGAGAGAAAGGACCTCTCACTACCCTCTCATGTTAATTCACCCATATTGAAATCCATTCTCCCCCCTTACCTCGAATAATTGCTTAATCGTTGAAAAATCTTGAAGGATTGAGAGTCCTAGCCTCCTTCTCTTCCTCCTTGTTCTTCTTCTCACTTTTTCTCCCAAAACCTTTCTATGGCAGTTTATCGTGTTCTAATTCTCTTTCCCCAAAAAACTTCTCTATTTCCTTTAATCCCTTATTTCTTATTTTATTATTTAAATCCTATAATAATAATAATAATAATAATAATAATAATAATAATAATAATAATAATAATAATATTATTATTATTATTATTATTATTATTATTATTATTATTATTATTCTCCCACTAATAATAATATTCATACTAATAGTAATAATATGAATAATAATAATATTCCACCAAATAATATTATTAATACGAATAATAATAATAATAATAATAATAATAATAATAATAATAATAATAATAATAATAATAATAATAATAATAATAATAATAATAATCTTATTAACATTATTATTAATAATAATTGGAATAATATTAATTACTATAATGCTCTCGATATCATAATTAACTTACTCCTTTATCTAGGTCCACAGAAACCCAACTAAGGTCACCTTTCTCCCTTACTCCTAACCTCATACCCTTAATTAAGGACACCACACAACTACACATCACAGAAAATACCAAAGCGACTGAATAATTTAAATGGGGTGTTACAAACTCAATCTAAAATACTGAATGCTCTTCCATAGGATGTCTCATTGCATCAAAGATTATGGCCAGGATTGCAAATGCAGCAACAAATCCGATAATTCCCACAATGTCCCTATAGGTCAGAATCAAACTTAAAGAAGGAAGATGGTTAAAATAAAATCTAAAAAATCTAAAAAAAACACAAAATTTAACCTAATTAGATCAAATAAGAATTTTAGAATTTTTTTTTTAATTTTTTTGAGACAGTGAAAACAGTAAAAAAATTAATTAAAAATGGAAAAAAGAGGAATTGGCGATTCGAGGGGCCAACTCCTATAACTCTTTTAGAGTTAAGGAATTTTGATCGCACGATTTCACGAAACAGATCTAAAAAAGAAGGTGATTTGCCCAAAACCTGGTTTTTTTTTACTTGGTCTGACGAGAAACAGACGGCCGGACGCGAAAACGCAAGAAAATACACAAAAATGCAGAAAATTAAAACAAACAAAACCTAAAACTAGACTATTGGCTAAATCAATAAGAATCCCCGTCAACGACGCCAATTTGTTCTGCTGTCGCGCGCGGATCAAATTGGCGCCGTTAACTTTCAGCATCCCCTTAGGTGTAATCTTAACTTTCAACATCTCCAAAATAAATTCTCCTTTGTATTTATCTCGTTTTTAAAAACTTTCAAGAAATATTTTGGAGATGCATCTCCGAATACCCAAATACTCATACGAAGATGCATCTTCGAACCATAATTTGGTCAAAAATATGATAGATCTCAAAATATCGCATTCTAATTATGATTTTGATGCGTTCAAAAATGTATCTACACGCGTCTAGAGAGCAATTTCAAGTTTTCAAAGATATAAGAGAAAATACTAAAAATGGAATGAACATTACCTCTAATTTATATAACTACCCATGCATAAAAAAATTGAAGCCTCTTCTTTTTAAGACCCTACTAGAATGCTCGTCTTATTGTTCTATCTAAAGGCCGGTCCTATTGACTAAAAAAAAATCCAAAACTCTCATGGTACTACATATATCAAACTCTAAATATAAAGTCCATTATATTTACAGTATTTGTTTATATATAAAGAACAAAAAGTTCTTGTTAAAAAAGAAAAGAAAAGAAGGTGTGAATAATATGAAGAAAAAAAAAACAATAAAATAGAAGGTGTGAATAATATGAAGGGACACATTGTTTGGAAAGTCAGAAAGAGACTCCTTAAGAAAGCATTTTGTATTATTTTCTCGTTCTAGATATTTCAAATTTCAATTCATCCAGACCAAACGCTTTCTTTATTCGTTCAAACGCTATTCCGTTTTTTTATCCGTTTTTTTTATTTTCTATTTAAACCCTCTCGTTCTTCTCCATTATCTATCTGTACTCTACGCTGTCCCTTACCCTTACCGTTCTCTGCATTTTTCTCTCGCTTTCGCTTCCGTTACTTCCTGTAAGTTCTCCTCTCTCTTTCTCTTTCTTTTTCCGATGTATAGTTTCTGATTTCTGGATCTGCATCATCAACCATTGCACTTTCTTCGTACAACACTATTAAACTGTTTCACTTTTCATGAGTTTCTATTGGGAATTTATTGATTTTCTAACTAACTTTGTTTCTCACATTTTCTTTACTTGTAGTTTTGCCTAGTTAAAATGGAGAACGGGAATAAGTTTCAGGAAGTTTCAAACCCAAAATATGATTGTCTATTATTCGGTAACTCTTTGTTATTATAACTCCTCAATGTTTTTCTCTCAAGTTCTTTATGTATTACATGTTTTCACAAATTTTCTCAATTTGTTTTTCATAATTACAGATATTGATGACACACTTTACCCTTTGAGTTCTGGAATTTCAGCGCATACAGCCAAAAATATTGAAGGTAATAATGAGGGTTTGAGTTCGAGCATAGTAATAATTATTATTATTTGGTGAATTGTTGAAGTATGAAGTTGTTTGTTTATTTGAAATTGGTGTATTGCACAGAGTATATGCTTCAAAAGCTTGGAATGGAGGCTGCTAAAGTTCCTGAGTTGTGCAATTCATTATACAAGACTTATGGGACAACAATGGCTGGTCTTAGGGTACTATTTCGTTTTATCTCAACCTTTTAATATGAATTGTTGGAAATGGAAAAACACTTTTTTTAATGAACTTGTCTCTTATTTTCTTGTCAGGCAATTGGTTATGACTTTGACTATGACGACTTTCATAGGTAATTTTTCATTGAATTTTTCTGCCTTTTTTATTTTATATTGGTATTTGTCTTATTGACATACTAATTTGTGTGTTGAATAGTTCTGTTCATGGGAGATTGCCATATAATCTATTGAAACCGGACCTTGTTCTCAAGGGGATTTTGCAAAGCTTGCCTTGTAGGAAAGTGGTAAGTTTCTTTGATGTTTCTTGACAATGAAAGTTTGGAGCAAGTCTCTATTTGTAGTTTGCTTGTGTGTGATATGTGTTATGTGTTTCTCTTTTGCAGGGTTTTACCAATGCGGATGCGGGACATGCGATAAGAGTGCTTAAAAGACTTGGGCTGGAGGACTGTTTTGAAAGAGTTATAAGCTTTGATACTCTGAATTCCTTTGACGATATCAGCCCTCCTGATGGCAAAGATGGCAATGAAATTTTTGATTTCTGCGAGTACACACGCCGGCCTGATTCTGGTATGGTGCTTCCAAAGACACCAGTTATCTGTAAACCCTTTGATAATGCATTTGAAAAGGCTTTCAAGTTGGCTGACATTGACCCTCAAAGAACAGTAAGAGAAATATTTCTTCCCTCAATAACCCTTTGCAATACATGAGTTATTGTGACAAACAGTATTTCATTTATGACTGATTCTTTCTATTTGCTATCTTCAGTTGTTCTTTGATGACAGTATCCGCAATTTAATGACAGCGAAACGTTTGGGCCTCCATACGGTTGCAGTAAGTGGTCCAGTTATTTATGACAACTGAACAAATAGTATTTGCATTTGGTTTGAGCACACACTCCACATCACAGTTAAAATAACTTGTACTCTACAAAGCGAGTTTAAATGTCAATTCCAAATGCCATATGGATGCAGGTGGGTACATCGGTGCGTAATACAGGAGTGGATCATGCATTAGAGAGTATCCATAATATCAGAGAGGCATTTCCAGAGCTATGGGAAGGCGATGAGAAGAACGAGATTGTTAACTACAAGGTTGCAATTGAAACAACAGTAAAAGCATAGGCGTATATTTGTTTGTGGTGTTTTACGTATAGTGTGGATCATGGCACCTATGTGATTGTTATCAATTGAAACACACATTTAGTGTCAATTGAAAGTTTGAATACAATTCACCTTTTTTTTTTTCTTTCTATTTTAATTTTGATGTATATTTATCTTTTGTTTAATTTTTGTCCGCTTTCTTTCTATTAAATATTTTTTTTATTTAATATAATTTTAAATGGAAGTTATGTAAAAGTTAATAATAGAAGTTAAATAGGAAGTTAATAGGAGGAAGTTATGTGAAAATTAATAGTAGTGGTTTTTTAATGGAAGTTATTGGATAAATTATACATTAAAATAAAGATAAAATTGATAGAAAAATAGGCTACATGACTGAGTTCCCGCCACCCGCCTTATGATACCATTTGAAAATTGTATTTTTGTGTATTTATTTTTTACTTATAATTGGAACAAAAGTAGACTACCTAAAAAATTTAACTCGCCTTATGATACCATTTGAAAATTGTATTTTTGTGTATTTATTTTTTACTTATAATTGGAACAAAACAAAAGTAGACTACCTAAAAAATTTAACTCGCGAGCCTGTCCGCTTTTTTAATACACTTAAAAATTTAAATGATATTTTTTATTTTATGTTAATTTTAAATAGAAGTTAATTGTAGGAAGTTAGGTAGAAAGTTACATAAAAAGTTAATAAAAGTTATAAAAGTAAGAGTAAAATTAGTAGAAATATAGGCTATACCAGAACACAATGTTTTGCGATTTGATGAGGAATAAATAAAGGCAAAGTAAATCAAAATCAAGGAATAGAGCAATGGGGATATTCAAGAGTAACTTCTAGAAGTTATGTCTTAAACTGTTCTCTACTAATATCAATTTGAAAAACAATCCTAGAAGTTATGTCTTAAACTGTTCTCTACTAATATCAATTTGAAAAACAATCCTACAAAGATCAATCTTTTAATGAAAACTTCTTTCCTGTGAAAGCTTTAAATTCTTGGGTTTTTGTCTTCTTTTTAGGTGACTCTTGACTTTCACTTTTCAGAGAAACATTAGGTGCATTTGGATTTGAACCAAAAACAAGCTTTTGAGAAGTATAAAGGGAACTCTTGGTTTTATTTTCAGTTTTTTGTTGCTTTATAATTGGAGTGGAGCTTGTTTCAACTGACTGTGTCGTCGGTTTTCCATCCAAACGCCTTCCCAAACCACTGAACGGAATCACTTCAGGAGTCTTTGTTGCTGCCTCTTCTTCAACTGAAATGCAAAATATTCATATAGTCAAAATCTTCATTTGAAAACAAACACAAAATTCTTAAACATATTCCAAAAGAAAATAAAAGAATCCAAACCTTGTGGAGATTTCTTATCAGACAAATCAGATGGCAAATTCTTCTCAGGTTCTTTGTAATCAAGAGGTGGGGCAAAATCTACCTCACAGTCTGTTTCAATTATCGAAATTGCCGGAAAAGGTTTTGTTTCAACCACGTCAATGTAATACTTTTTGTTGTTATATGGAATCATTATAGTGCGACCTGTTGTTAAACAGGAATAACTCCTTAATGCAGTTTCTAACCTGATAAAAACGAAAGGAAAAGAAACAAGATGTTAGTTTACTGACACAAATACGATACTTACAAAACACAACTAGATAGGATATTCTATTATCATTCATACATGGCTTTTAGATTAGAGATATCTAGAAAATCTTTGGAGTGAGGCTGCAGTTTCACAAATTTTCCTTTGACAAGACTTTTGTTTTTCAGAGATACAATGTCTCCATTCTCTAGGAGCATATCTTCCATCATCTGAAAATTACGACAAAAAACGGTTACTCAATTAACTAAAAAAACTAAATATGAATAATGAAAGGAAAAACATATGAAAGGAAAAACATATATACCCAATTTGGTAAGGACACAGTCCCTTCGTCCGCTGTGAATTCTAAAACTCCGCAGTGAGTAGTTCTATCAGCAGAAGAATTTTTAAGTTCAAATAACATTGGATATTCTATGTTCATTTGTGCTGCAAGATTTTAACAAGAATATGAGTTTGAATTCATGAGAGAAAAAATAATCAAATTGTTGAAACTTGAATGACGAATATAAACTTACAGAGTCGATCTAGAGCTGAAGCAGGCATGATAACTGAAAGAAAAAAGAATTTGCGTTAGCTATCGGAATTTTAACAATGTTTGATACCAAAGAATAAAATGTAACCAAGTAAGATGATAGCGCACTTACTTTTATCACCATGTTCCAGATTCGGCTGCAAAAAATCAGAAAAAAAAGATTCAGTACAATTGAATGTTTTAGAAAGATCACACTTAGATACTATACTTGAGAAGCATCTCATGACATACCCTATCGAGAGATGAGACCGAAAAACAACTGTAAACATGTTCAAAAGTCGCATTCTGCGGCAGATTCCTCCTATGCTCATTCAACAAATCTGGCAGATGAATCTGCCTATGCTCATTAAAAACCTCATTCAACAGATCTGGCAGATTCCTCCTATGCTCATTAAAAACCTCATTCAACTGATCTGAATAATCATTCGGCACATACTCATGAATACCCTCATTCAACCGATTTAGACGCTCATTCTGGCGCAGATTCCTCGGAAACTCAAAATTATCCTCCGCAAACTGACCTAGATCATCAAAAAAATCATCATCCGACTCATCATCGGATTCCTCTGAGTGATTACTTGTTTGATCTTCAGACAAGGATTCATCTGAGTTACTTGTTTGATCTTCAGACAAATTATTTTCAGGTGAAACATTATTCACCTCTGGCAAATCCTCATTCAACTGATTTTCATCCGAATTCTACAAGAAAAAACAGTTAATGCAACCACATTAATTATAACCTTAGTAAGCAACAAAGAACACAGCATTCAAATATATTCTGAATAAACAACATAGAAACTAAAATAAAAAAGACAAACAACATACCATATTGAGTCGAAAGTAGAAGAAAATCGATTAACTGCAAAAGAAAAACAAAAAAACTGATGGTTAAAAATAACTAGCAATAATCAAGTTTCATATATAGAACATTCTTCATTAAGAACTCAATAATCTTAAGAAAGTGTACCCTAACGAAAATTATTTCATATATAGAACTACTATTTAAACTGAGTAGGCTTAAAGAAAAGATAGTAGAATGAACATCATCGCACTAACCTTCAAATATCGAAAAACACCGAGAATTGTTAAACAAAGAAATCCAATGCTTTAAAGAAAATTTCTCTCAGAAACAAATAGTGGTTTGGGTTTAAGGTTTTTACTAGTTTATATATAGTGCAATGTGACGGTTTCAAAGGAATACTAATAAGCCCATAAAATCCGTAAAAATCTTAAATTTGTTATTTTCAATAATAATCTTTTCATTATTTTCGGAAGATTTGAAGGGTAAGTACACGAATTTTTTTTGTTATATAATTTAATTACTAAATAAAATAAGTTTTTTAAAAAATTATTAAAATGACCAACTTTAAAATTCATCCAGCTAATTTTTAGGGTTTCTAATTTTTAGGATTGTCGCCACATGAATGTGGCTAATTTGTAGGGTTTCCAATTTTTTTTTTCGTTTTTCTTGTTTTTTTATCATATATTTAAAGTTTTAAAAATTTAGTTTTTTGATTTTAATATTATTATTATTAGTAACTATAAAATATATTAATTTATAATATAAATAATATTAATATAATTAAAATATTATTATTAATAACTATAAAATATATTAATTTATAATGTAAATATAATTATTATTAGTAACTATAAAATATATTAATTTATTTGTTACTTATTATTTTCTATGTATTAGACTTATTAATATAATGTAAATAATATGCTAAAGTTAATATTTTTAGTATTTTCTAAATAAATTATTTAGTGTGTTACAATGACAGTATAACATTTAAAATTTAAATAATCGTAAAATTCACATCATATTATTAACAATTTAAAAACTGAGCATTTAAAAATTTCAATCCACAAAAATGATAGATAAAGTGTGTCTTATAGGTAAAGATGATACATAATTTCATCAATTACAAATTAAAAGAAATATTGTTTATCTTAAGCATCAAAAAAATTTAAGACCCAAATATCCATATTGTAACTTACGAAAAACTTTTAATGAAAAATTAAAATTTGACATCCTTCCAAAGTTTATAATAATCATTGAAATATTATATTTATGTTCAACATTATAGTTCATAAACGTTGAAAGGTGAATCTCATGTTCAACATTCTAATTCACCGCTGAAAGGTGAATAGCATGTTCAACATTCGAATTCATGGTTGAAAGGTAAATCTTATGTTCAACAGTTTGGCATGGAAAGATCATGAGTGAAGTTGTTGAAATTTTTTTTAGTACTATTAGAGAGCAATTTAACACCGGACTTATTAATTCAATTAGATATACTTTTGATTCTCTAAATAACTCTATTATTTTTGTGGATTGAAATTTATAAATGCTCAATTTTTAAATTGTTAATAGTATGATGTGAATTTCACGATTATTTAAATTTAAAATGTTATAATTTCATTGTAACACACTTGATAATTTTTTTAGAAAATACTAAAAATATTAACTTTAGCATATTATTTACATTATATTAATAAGTCTAATACATAAAAAATAATAAGTAACATCTTTTTCTTTTTTTTTATGAAACACATCCCCTACTTTAAAAGTACAATATTTTAACAAAAATTAGAAACTGAAGTCTATTAAAATAATTTAAGAATACAATCAAAATAGATAGTCAAAATCATTAGGACAACCTTTTCTATATTTTAACTAAATCTTTGCATAAAATGGTTTTTTCTGACTTTTTAATTACCAACTAAAACCATTATGAGTAATATATTTGGCAAAAAGATCCTCAAATAAATCCGCATAAAATAACCACAATCACAAATTTTAGTTTTAATAAATTTTTAAATATAAAAATATTAAATTTATGATATAGTTATTTTAATAATAAATTTA